TATATATATAGCTGTTGAAATAAAATTAGCATAATTTTATGAGTTTTATTATCTAGTGTATAAACTAATGAAGAGGAAAAGTTATTATTTAATCTCTCTATTATCACCAAGTGCATCACTTCTTTATTTGTTTCTCAAAACAGACATTAAAATATTCTAGGACAGGCAAGTCAAAACACAAACAAGCTGCCAACTTTTTTTTTTTTTTGTTCAACCTGTAGCTGTGGTTCTTACAACCATTAGATCATTTTACATGGTGTAAATATAATTAAAATAGATTATGCTGTTTATCTGAAAATCTGATCTTCTTTGTTGCTGTAGGCTTAATAATTAGCTTACAGACAGCTTCCTGGTAAATCATTGCTTTTTGTTTGTTTGTTTGTTTGTTTTTTAAACAGGAAAATAAAAGAGTCCACATTAAATAAAACGTCTCTTTGCTCTTTGATTTGAAACTCTCAGATTAAAGCCTGATGTCTTCCTGCTCTTACTTGTTGGGGACAGAGAGGTGGATCCGCTCTTGGTGCTGAACTGTCTCGACTTCGTCCTCTTGATCGTTTGGACTTGGTCCCGCACGCGCTGCGCTCCGGACCGGTACTGGTTCACGGACGGCAGAGCCAGAGACGTGTCGTCCTGGTTTTCGTAGGAGATGGCCGACTTCAGGGGGTCCAGACCCGACATTTTACACCCACACGTCCAGACGGAGCGAAGACACCGGGCGAAGCTGCGGAGAGTTCCTCTTACCGTGTGAAGAAGAGACGCACCTGGTGGCCACGCCCTGTACGAGCAGACCACACCCACACCCACACACACACCTGCAGGACTGGACTGAAGAACACACACTTTCTCCCAGGCTACGTGTTTGCAAGCAACTCCGCTTTAACGACATTATTAAAGTTGTGGGAAAGTAAATTCACTCAAGTATTTAGGTCAGGGCTGCTCTTTTCTTCTTCTTTTTCTTTTCTTTTTAAGTCTATTTATGAAAAGATGTAATTAGGTACCTGCTGTCAGGGACATTTGAAAAGCCCATTTACAAACCTTTGATGTCTATATGTTAATGATTTTTATGCTCACTTTTAAACCGGTTGTAAACATGACACATACACATGTAAAATAAGGTTTCAGACAAAAGGCCCTGGCTGCTTGGTGCAAGAAAGAATTGTGTAAAGAACTTTCAAGTTATTGTATTAAAGCAGGGGTTCCCATATGGTGGACTGAGGTCCAGATCCAGACTGAATTAGTTTTTTTTTTTTTTTTTACCCAAATCAGAATGTGCTGGTGAGGCATCATGGTCAATGCAAAAAAAAGTTCAAAAACAAAACATCTGGACTTCTATTCTTTCACCTTCAGAACATAATAATATGTTCTAATAGTATTTTTTGCTTCTTTCTGTGTGTGTGTGTGTATTTCATTAATCAACATATAACCAGACAAATTCTCCTGAAACAAGCAAAAAGTAAGCTTCGGCTAACACATTCACTTTTGGAGCAAACCTCGTTCAGGGTGATCTTTGCTCAGAACTTCAGCATGAACTGAACCAGCTTGGTGTGTTGGAAAATACCTCATGAAATGAAACTTTAAGGAATGGATGAGCATCTCCAACTGGGAGTCGACCCAGTTTACGATGTCCACTCTGCTAATTCACGACACAAAAACGGCCTTAGAACTTCAGTTTTACACATACTGAGCTAAAACTTGACGTCGTAGCTGAGAGTCCTTTTCAACACAAAGCCTATTCCGAGTGTGGCACTTCACAACATCACATGTAATATTCCAATATTTTTAAGCTAGAGCTCCATCATCTCGCATCATAAAATGATTTTAGTCTAAATCGCTGGCATGCAAGTTGGTGGACGATATAAACCCCTTCAAGAAAGTTTAAATACAAGCTGTATTTCATCAGATATTTTTGTTATTAACGGCATTATTGTATTATTTACCTTCGGTGCAACACAAGCAAAGACCTGCTGATGCAGGGTTACTGCAGTCTTAGTGGCAAACTTAGAAAATCATTACCAACTAGTGAAGTTTTCATGATAGGTTCTTCTGTAACACGTATTCATTAAAAAAAAAAAACCAATCTAATTATGTTTATTCAGAGGTTTCCTAAATTTAGAATTAACCAAAAAGTACCATGCTTTAAGGTGTCTAACTATTCAGTAACGTGTCATTTACACCACAATGTCAAACGGACGCATGTAAATATTGTATTTATTCAGTTGCACTGTGACAAATAAAAGTTCACCACACCCACGGTTGCTCCGGTGTTCTGGCTCTACATGTAGCAGCTGGTGAATTTGGGTGATCCCATATATTGTATGACTACTGTCTTTTTGTTGCTCTTAATGTGACAGTTTGGTGATTCATGAGGTCATTTAAGGACTTCTGTGTAGGATGCACTGACAGCACCTCCTACAGGTGAGCATTTGATCACTTTCACCCCACCATCATCAGGTGCCATTTTGTTTATATTCTTTAAAGAAAGGCAGATGTGCAGAAGTGTCTGGATGAAGTTTTTATTGTTTCCTTCATGTTTGTTTGCATCACAGTTTTCAAGTGGAATGAACATCACTTACAGCATCATAAAAAGTTTATACGGTTGAGAACTACACTTCACATGATGGTTTTACAAGTCATTTAATAGTTAGCTCTGTTTAATCTAATGAATCAATCATGATATATTATCTTTTCTTAAAGTGATTGTGGTAGCTTGTCAAAATTAAGTGATCAAAAAACACCAAACTTACAAGAACACTTTGAGTCGGTTTAAACATTTTACCTTGAATTACAGGACTTCAGAAAAAGGAGTGCGGGTCGTCTGCGTGTGCATCAAAGTTCCACGCAGACAGTTTGTTTCTTCTCTTGTAACAACACTAAACGTCGTCACTGGCTGAAGATGATTCGTGCGCTGCAGTGCATTCTTTTCGAGGAGCTGAAATGTAAACCGTTTTAAAAGTTTTAAACATTCAAATGGAGAAACAGGCTGGCCCCACGACGAGGTGCGATGACTTCTTTAAGTCACAAAGGAGAAACGTGAGATTAAAAACACAAACTCCTGGTGGATGGAATGCAAGAGACCTGAGGCTGAGGAACACGAACCATCGTATTTAAGACTTCTGAGCCAAACAGTAGCACTTGTTGTGCATTAGGAAGCATAGATTCACGCTGCAGGTGCATAGAGACGTGTAGGGGTAATAAAAGCCTACAGATGACTATATAAAAGTATAAAACTGTCAAAGCAGGTGCTCTGCACTACTTTCAGAAATGTTTCATCATTTTGCAGCAGAAATCTAAATCTCAAAAGCACAAACAGATTAACAGGAGCAGACTAAAGGTCACTCTTAAAGCTGACTTCAAAGCCCTCGTTCTAAAAGCCTACTTTGAAGTTATTCCTCTGGTTCCAAAGCATTCGGTTTTTCCCCCTCTGGAGGCCTTAGTGGGGCGTTGTGAGGTGGACCCGAAGGAAAACCTCTGAGCTTCTCTTGCAGACTCCCTACAGCCAGCCTCATCTGGTCTTCAGCTCCCTGGAGAGCCTTCAGCTCCATTGTGTAAAAGATGTAGAGCAGAGTGGTGCTCAGCAGGATGGCGAAGCACAGAGCAGCCAGCAGGTAGAAGGAGGTACGAGGGAAAGGCTGCTCGGGTCCCAGAGCGAAGCAGGGAACGGCTGCGATGGCCAACTCCAGGAACAGCAGCACCAGCCCCATCACTCCTGTTCGTGCTGCTGTGTAGCGCATCCTCTCAGCGCAGTGCAGGCCCACTTTGACCTCAGTGCGAGCCTCTGTCACTATGTCAACCAGCTCAGCCAGCTTCCCTGAAAGAGCACAAGACGAGGACATCGAGGAAAGTGAATTGCTGAACTGGTCAATATGAATGAAACGTCAGTGAGCGAGGCGGTTCAAGATCACAGCGACAGCAGAAAACCTGTGTAGCTGCTTAAACCCACAAATGTAACTAACATACTCCTCCAGATATGATGCACAGAGCTCCTTATCTGTTTGTCTGGCTTTCACAATTCTGCTGCCACATCAGGAGTCCAGAAACACCAACAGCAACAATCTTGCAAAGTGTCCAAGGTTGTGTGAATACAATATCAGCATTTACACTATTGCTTTAACTGCATGTGGGGCGGCTGTGGCTGAGTGGTCAGAGCAGTCGTCCTATAATGGGAGAGTTGGGGGCTTCGATTCCACCTGCAGTCACATACTGAAGACACTGAATCCCTCATTGCACCCAATATGTGTCCCATTGGTGTATGAATGTGATCTAAAGCACATAAAGCAGCATCTACAGCAGAAACATAGAATGCTGTATGAATGGGTAAATGAGGGCACAGATTGTTGTGTAAAGCACTTTGAGTACCTTGATAAGACGGAAAGCCTCTATACAAGTACGGTCCATTTACCATTTTTTCATGTGTCCCTATATTTTTGCAGTCCAACTCTAATATTTTAGCCATGTGTACATCAAAACATTCAGCTCATTTAGCAGGTGGGGGCTGTAAGTGTTGGTTTAGGTGATTTTTACACTTTTTAAAATTATTTTGCTTCATTTACAAATATTTTCCCCACATAAAGATACGAAGATCTTGATGTTTGTCTATCTACTTTAATCTTTTAGCTACCTTTCTGCTATCAGAGTCTAATTTCAGCTTTTAGGCCCCCATTTGGCTACATCTAGCTTTTAGCAAGCCTTTTGCCATTTTTACCAGCCATTCTGCAGCTTTTACTTTTTAGCTGTCCTTTTCCTATTTTTAGCTCTTAGTGACAGTTCAGCTCATTTTAGCTTTTAGCTACAGTTCTGCTACTTTAAATGATCATTATGTGACCTAAAGCAATTACTCTGCTACTTTTACAACTGTTCCTGCTAGTATTAGTGACCAGACTGCTACTTTAAGCTTTTAGCTAGTGTTCTTTTTAAAAAAAATTTAAAAAAAATTTTTTTTTAAGCTTTTACACAGTTTCAGCTTCTTCAGTAAAGTCATTGAGCACTCAGTGTGTATACTGCATTTCACAGAAAATGCAGTTTCTCTACAGACTACGTTCTTAGTTTTTAAATATTTATTTTCCAATAGTGAAATAATGAATGAATACATTTTTCTTTCTTAATTCATTGTGATTAACAACTAATGAAAACTAACTTGGATCAATGCTAAACACCACCACAGCAAAGGAGTGAGTGCTCCTGCTGTTACATACCTGCAGGAGAGTCTTGAGCCGTTGGTTGTTTGTCACCTCCAGCCTCAGCTGCAACACTGGACTTGAGTCGCAGCTGAGCAGTGAGTGCCTCATGATCAGAGTACGGGAACGGATGGTCAGGAACGGAGCCTTTGGTGGTGGACATGAAATCGCAATAAATGTTGGTCTTGGAGGTTCCCTGGAACAGCAAAGTGAGATGAATTAAATGTATTTGAAGATTCCAGGACTTGAAAATTACATAAAAGAAAATCAGCCAAGCTGAGCCTTCGCCTACCTTGAACAAGATGTAATCGATTCGAATGCCCTTCTCAAAGGGGATGAGCTCCTTTTTGCTTATAAATGGGTTGTCTGCTATAAGAGTTATACCGTTTTCACAACCCTGAAAAGAATTTAAATACTTGGATTATACAAAAAAAAAAAACAACCAAAAACACAAATATTTTCACATGACAACAATTTTTGTTTTAGCTTTGTATTCTTTTGTTCGGTTTAATTTCTTTACGTAGCAGTGACAATTTACTTACCAGTGCAGATCATGAGATAAAACCACAATGACACTGCAGCATTAGGCTTGTGAAATTTGCGATTCATGTGCAATAAATAGTTACATAGTTACAGACGACTGAGTTAAAAACAACACATTTTTTATCCAATAGCCTGATTGAAATGTAAAAAAGGCATGCTGCTAACAAAATACGACTACATCTACAAAAATAGACTTGTATAATGCAAACATTTTTTAATACGCTGTATATTCTGCATATAAATTAATACTTGTATCGTGTACTGTTCTTGTTGCTACTTACATCAAACTGAGCAGCTTCCAAGTAGGAGTCTCGCAGTCCCGTGTAAGATCTCAGTAGTCTGTTGCCAAGGTCCTGAGGGTGCATGTTGAGGTCACCTCCTAGAATGACCACATCTGCTCCAGCTGAGGTGTGACTTTAAAAAACACAAAGAACATCACAACGAAAAGTGTCATGAGTGTGTGTTTATGACTGAAATATGAAATGTTATAACAGCAACAGTACTGTTTGGGTTTCATGTGTTGGGGACTAGCTAGTGAAAAACCTTCATTTGCAGGAGTCCTCACTGTCCTTGTATGAGTCACAGCAGCTCAGTCTTATCGTCTGGATTTTACACGTTCTCAAAAAATTTGTGACAATTATTTTCTCCAGACAATAGCAGAGTTACCATCTCAAATCCTCAATTAAGTTTCTGAAATTCTAGAGCGTTGGGAGTATTTTGACACTTGCACAGGAACACTCGATGACAGGAAACACCGGAGGCTACAAAATCAGATGTTCAGGTAGAACCAAACCGATCAACGCAAACAATCATTAAAAACAGTCCAACTCTGTCTAGTTCGATTTCAAAAGTGTACTCCAATAGATTAAATCAAATGTGGGAGCGGCTGCCAAAGTGGTTACAAAGCGGGCTGAGGACGGTATGATGTGGGCGGGAGTGAGTAACAAAATGTGCACGTGCTACAGTTTCGCAGGCCGTATACAGTAGTCCCTCTCTACTTCACAGATCGACTTTCGTGGACTCGCCCTTTCGCAGATTTTCAATGATTGTCAACTTTCATAATACTCATGTGATTGGGATGGTACGGGATAAAAAGTTAACAAAAAAAAAAAAAAAACTTCAGAAAAACGTTGCTTTTGTAGTTTTCTTTCAATAAACCTATACTGTATCGCCAGTCAAAATAACTATGTTACCCAGAAGCCAACAGTGCTTCCGACTGCTTCTTTCTGCGGAAACGGAGAGAAAGTTTTGCAACGCAAAGTCAGAAGTAACGATCTATCTATTAATCTCACAGAACTGTCAGAAAAGTTGCAAATAATCCTGAAGCTCAATTATCCACGCGCACATCAACCTTGGATGGGACGGTGGGCTTTGTTGCTGCAGGGCAGGTCTGCTGAACCGGAACAGACTTCGACCAGAACAGAGCTGCTGTTCTGCAGAGCTGGTGAGTAAAATTTTGCAGTGCTGTACAGTACATATATGTATGTTATTAAAATTACATAGGCTTAAGAGTTTAGAACATTGCAAGAGTGTGGGAAGGGTTTCTAAAGCTTTAAAATATATAAATACTAAAGTAAATATAGCGTTTCTACTTGGCCGTTTTTCACCTATCGCGGGCATGTGTGGAACGTAACTCCCGCAATAATTGAAGGACTACTGTAATCAAAAACAGACTGTGGTTTTCAAAAATTGGCTGAGCATAGGCCCGTCACGATAACAAATTTTGCTGGGCGATTAATCGTCTCAGAAATTATTGCGATAAACGATAATATTGTTTGAAATTTGATAATAATTAGTAATCATTGTTAAATTTAATAAGAAATGTTTGTTAATTTGTTTTGCTGTAGTACCTTTTTTGACCACCAGATGGCAGTATAAGGGTGCATTCACGCTAGCCCCGTTTAGTCCGCTTTAATCGGACTCTAGCTCGTTTTCCTAGAAAGTCCGGTTCATTTAGGGAGGTGTGAACCGCCATCGAACTCTGTCACGGAACAAAAAGGCGAACTCTGGCTCGGGCTAAAACCTAGGTCTCGGTCCGGTAGAAGCGAACTCGAGCGCGGTTCGAGTACAGTGTGAATGTAAACAGACCGGACCCCGCTCCACAGGGTAAATAAACACGCATTTCTCTGACCTTATATGGAGCTGTCAGCTGCCTTGTGTGGAAAAACAATATTCTCCATGGTCTTCTGTCTCATCTTCTGCTCATGCTAAGTCCATTTTTGAAAAATGACAAAATATAACTCCTAAAACTGCTAAAACTTGATGCCACTTTGTTTTTATTTACAGAAGAAGAAGAAGACGTGTCTTCAGAGGTTTTTGTGTCGTTTCTTTCAGTAGTTCTTGGTGCAGCGGCCCCACAGGCGAGCGGGGGAACAGGTTGGTTCAACAGGTTGACTCGACTGCACAGAGCAGTGTGAATGCAAACGCACCAGCTCAAATGTAAACAAAAGGTCATGAATATTGGTCCCGAACCGAGTCTACCGGACTATCTAGTGTGAAAACAACCTAAGACTGTTTGAAGCGAAGGATAGATAGTGAGGGAGCAAGCAGTGCGGCTCTTTAAGAAAAAAATTTCAACCGTGAATTTTGGAGCTTCGACAAGACGGAGGTTACACAACCCGCACCCGAGGTTGGCCTGTTAGCTTAGCTTCTCAGCTTAGCTGCTTTTAACGATCCAAAAATGCAATTTTGGACGGTTAAAATAGATTTTAAAGAAAAGAGAAAAAAGAAAAAGGAAGAGGTCAGTGAAGAGCACCCGAGTTGAGCTTGTCATCCAGTGACTTCAACAGAAAGAGAGATAAAGCCAATAAATGAAAATGAGGTTGATAATGTTAATTTATCATGCTATTAATTGATTTATTGTTTATTGGCCTAGCTGAGCACACTGAACAAACACACAAAAAATCAGCAAGACTGAAGCTGAAAATAAGCATTTACTCTCACAAACTTTTTAAAATTTGAGTCATCAACTCGTCTCAGCCTAGTGCAATGCAAGCATCACTCAAAATGCCAAAAGATGGAGATCTCCATGCAAAAGCATGCAAACACAGAGTGCACACAGAAAGCAGCTGACAAAGTATTTGCTGTGGTAAAGATACACAGATACCGGATAAACTGCTGCAGCTCCCAGGCTTGCACCACTCTGTGAGCTAGGTAAGTGTCCTTCTCTCTGCAGTACTCTGCATGCAGCTAGAATCAGTACAGGACAAAAGGCATTTTAATCAAATGTTATCCACACAAAAACCTGAGAATCGTGGTGTATTAGAGCTTACATGTGTAACATAAATGTTTGCAATCAGGCCTCCAATATTTAAGATTGCCATTCCAACAGCTTTACCTCCAAACCAGTCCCCATGGTGAGCCTATAAAGATTAGAGAAACTCTTACTCAATGAGGCAAACAGAGCCATTCTGTAACAAGAGACGTTTAACTAAAGCCCCTCCATTTAAACAAAATTGTGTTTATTTGTATTATATTATTACATTCCACCTGTTTGGATGGCCTGCATGCAAAGTGTATAGTTATATTTGCATTGCTGGATGCGTCTAGGAATATTTTTATATCTACATGCAAGTTCTGCTTCAATTCACTTGTAAATATTGAATTCTTTACTGAGGTAACTGTTCAGAGTAACTTGCCCACACTTGCAGAAAACGCTGACTTGTACCTTTTGAAGTTTGGCACACTTACCATGTAGGGATAACCGTTTAATGAATAGCGATAAAGAAATGGGTCATGGATTCTGTGTTTGGAAAAAATGGCCAGTCCGCTGCCTATGACTCCACTGCAAAGTGAAACAAACAAAAAAGACGTGAGCAGAATTAGAGAAATAAGGCTTGATTTATTCACAGCCTTGGTATGGGGGTCACAAAAGACTTAGCAGCAAAAGTTAATCCTTCATGTCAAATTTTGCAGAGAACTAAATGGAATGCAAGTGATTTTCTCTGACACAAGACCAGTCCTGGTATTTTTATTTTTTTTTTTAAGATACGACAATTTAAGTTTGAATGTACGACTAAAGTGCATTTGAGGTTTACACGTCAAGAATTTCTAGATGTTTAAGAGAAACACGTGACCTTTTAAAGTAATGAGAGTGAGGATGACTGCTGGCAAGTTTCTTTTTCAAGTATAGATAGTCCTTCTCGCTCCACACCTGAGAAAAAAATAGTTTACGCCACTTTAAAAGTAGAATAAAAGCATATTTAAATAATTAATATTTGTAATTTTAAATCCAACAGTGTGTATATTATAAAAGATTGAGCCAAACACTTCAATAAAGTAGATCATTAAGTAACTTCACAACTTGATAGCAGTTTCCCAACCTCTTGTAGTAAGACAATATCATGCTCCTCCTTGCACAACATTTCTGCAATCATTTGATAGCGCTGAGAACAGAGTTTGCTTAGATAGCGGATCCCCCTGTGAAATAAAACGGACTATATGAGCAGTGTTACTTTATTTTGCAGACCTGTACATGTAGATTAAAAAAGAAAAAAGGAAACTTAAAATGTCTCTGAACCAAACCACTGACCAGCAGTTCAGAGAAAGGACTCTCACACCGACACAGTCTGCGTTAGCCATTTTGGAGATCGGGAGAAGTTTCAGATCAGGAGGGACTCCTAATGAGTAACAAATTACAAAAAAAAAAGAGATTATTTCATTTTATTTGAACTTTTAATAACCAGTGACATGTCAGATTGCAGAGAAACATAGTTAAAAATAACAAATTCATATAGAAACCACAACTTGGCAATTGAAAAAGAAAACCAGAATTTAAGGGAGTGCATACTTATGTGATAAAAAAAAAAAAAGTAAAATAGAAAAGGACAAAAAAAGAAAACCAGTAAAATGTCAGAAAATTATTAAAAACAACGCACCAAGCACCAAAACTGCACACGTAGCAAAATTCTGTTGGGTCTTTTAGTTCTAGGTTTGACTTCAAATGGCTTTAATAAAACTAAATAAAATTTAACATTTAATCTACAACACAACCTCAAACACCTGTGAACTACGGTAGATGATCTACTTATCATGAAAATCTATGTAGCTATTAGGCAAAACTGTGTTTTTAACCTTTGTCACAACTCAGCTGACCCAGTAAAACCTCATTGTGTCGTGCAAATAGATTTTTTATTTTTTTTTGCTGATTCTCCTTTTTTTTTTCCAAAGATGACAAAGTCAGCAACAAATACACATTTGCACCAGAACTTTTGGGAACAACACCCTGCTTCCACAAACAGGGCGCTGACATGGCTTTGGCCCGTTTGCTTCTAAATGTGTATCTGAAAATACAACTAAAGGGGGGAGGGAAAAATATTAATGACAATATAGTGAAATACAGCATTGTTGTTTGGTAACAAACACAATCTTTGGAGTGAAAAAAGGTTTATTACTAATTATTGAATCAAAATAAACTGATCAACATTATTCTAACCATTGAGAAACTTAATTTAGTTTGTACAAATTGAAATAACATTTGAAGAAATTAAATGGAAATCTCTCAACTTTTTAGATTTAAAAATAATGTCAAGTTTTGCAACAAAATAAAAGGCATTATTTATGTAAATTGTACACTGTGAAAAAAAATAAATCGTAACTTTCCTATTTTTAAACCCAGATACAAGATATTGGCATCACTTAAATGTTACTTTAAAGCTCTTTAATTCAAAATCGGTCACATTTTTGTCAAATTAATGCCCAATTAACATTAAACACTAATGGCAATTCCTCTTTTCATCTGCTTCCTTAATATGAATAAAGCCAATAACTAATTATGTACAGTCAAATTAACCCAGAGTATGTTTTTATTTAAAACATATAACCCATCAGATTATGTGACTGAAATATTGCTGTTCATTTTATTGCTATAGTAGTGTGAGACAAAATCTAACTAGTGTACTCACAAGTTGTCAATAAAAATAAATAAAAACAAAACACGTGATTATAAAATAATTAAGTCATAAACTTTAAGTAATTGTTAAATCAGGTGTCAGATGGGGTGCGGATGTAGTATTATAAAATATATAATTGATGCTTTTAGTTAGTAAATTAGGAGCATTTCCGGTGTACAGACTGAGCTAACACGGCTGCTACACTGACCACTGTGAATTCAAACGTTAACCACGCACTTTGTGCAGGTAGCGGAAAACGAGAGCTAACTTAAAGTGCGGTTTAGCACCGCATTTAGCTCCTGGTTGACCTGGCATCAACTTACCGCAGCAGGTTTTCTTCACGTAGGCTGAACAGCACCGTTAAAGTGCCGCAGTGGTAACTCTAGTTCTGGGTTTAGCCTCGCAACACTTCCTGTTAGCGTGCTAGCTAATGCCCCGGTTCGCAAACGTCAAGAAGAAAACATCCCAGTTTGGTCAGCAGCGACATATCAGGTAACTACAGTTGCCATCGATGCGTGACTTCTACACTACGCCGACGTGAAGTCACCTGGTGTAAAATAATGGCCTCCTGTCTTATCTCCACCCCAAAAATAAATAAATAAAATCGGAATTTTAAAAAGTCACGTTTTAACTATGGCAGTTACAGCGCGCGCAAGTACAACACATTCAAAGAAAAACTTGCTGCTTAAAGTTAGTACTTAATGGAAACATAACTTTGTTTTAATGGACTTTTATTTTGAAAACCTAGTTTCCGGTTTAAGTTTTCTCTTTCGAAATGTATTCTGGGAAACGAAGTTCCGTTTTTGTAATACAAACAAAAAATCATTAGCACCGCTATAGAAAAACGTTGTAAGTAAAAGTGTTCAGTATTTAATAAACTACATCAAATAATTAGATTTTAAAGTAAATATTAGGTACAAGAACTAAAATGTTTTTAAACATACCTTTTAATTAACATAAACTTTAACTCAAACTTTTCCACTCCTCCACCTTTCTACACATAGAATAAAAGTTAATCCTGCACCACAATAAGTTATCTAACCTGTAACTAAAAACACAGATCAAATAGACTGAACAAAAAACAGACAAAAAAAAAAACAGTCAAAATGTTCTGCTTCATAAATTGAGTGCGAGGCTAAATTTTCCACAAAGGCTAATTTTGTTAGCATTGTGAGGGTTATAAAATCAATAAGCCATTCACAAATGTGTTTTCTGATGTAATCTAGATATAAAACATGTTAGCAATTAAAGAAAAGATATTTAGTCTAGAAACATCTAATCTTTTCAATTAGGTTTTAAAAGGTTTGCATCATCCCTTTAATCTTGAAGTTGATTTATGCCTCTAACTATCTAAAATGTAGCAAAACATTCTCATAGGATGAGCCATTGTTCAAACACCAATAACCCAGGAATATAAAAGGTAAACATCTATCCATCCATCCATTTTCTTTACCCGCTTATTCCATTTTGGGTCACGGGGGTCGCTGGTGCCCATGTCCAGCAATCACTGTGCAAGGGGCGGGGTACACCCTGGACGGGTCGCAAGTCCATCACAGGACAAAGGTAAACAGATCAGTAAAATAATTGGAGATGACAGTGGTGCTAATATATATATATGCATACATACATA